ACTGAAATTGCTTCCTACAGACGTGCGTGCGCATGAATGAAATATATGGAGATAACGAACAGTATTCAAGCTCAAAGTCCATCAAACAATACAAAATAGGAGCAGAGCAAACACGGACCTCCAAACATCAGAGGTGGGATCAGGTGCCATGGAGGAGTGTGCATCCCCTGCCGACCAGTCAAACCCGCCGTGTGCTCCTTGTCATGATCGGGAAATAACGGAAAAATCCGTCGACAATTCACTGTGTAAATAATGGCCTAACAATTAGTATGAAAAACGTCTGTCAGCATTTGACTCAATGATAAATTGTATTTGCTGACAAGGACATTGTATCGACCATAGAACTTACGAAATGATGACTTTAAACGAGACAGCTGATATTCTTGTTTCATCAACTTGTTTGTCAATAATTTACCTCTTTTTAGAAATTGTACATACGTAGAGCATGCTCTTGCGTATCGAATCAACTGAGAGATATATACCCCGTATGCAGGTGATGAAGGTATATTGCTGCATAGGTAAGGGAAGTTGACGATTGAAAAGTTAAAGTCATCGCGTTTATCATAAAGCTTGGTTGTTAGATTACCATTAACGTCTTTTTCAAGTAAAATATCCAAATATGAAACAGATGTTGCAGACTCTGTGGTACCTTTTATCTCAAACTCACCGGGATATATCGTATCGAAATAAGAATGGAAATAGCCATTGTTAATTGACAATACGTCGTCGATATATCTAAATGTCGAGTTGAAAGCCACAACAAGTGTTTTCTTCTTTTCACGTAAAAGATTTTGGACAAATTCTGCTTCATATGAATACAAAAAAGGTCTGCTAATAACGGGGTGCAATTGGTACCCATGGGAATTCCACTATTTTGTTGGAAGACCTGGTCTCCAAAAACCACATATCAGAAACTCAAGCATCTTTTTAATGTCAATTCAGAGTACTTGTGTGTACAATCAGAATGTTTTTCAACAAAATAATTTTGTAAATGGCCAATGACAAGGTATGTAAATTTACGAGTTCCATTTTTATTGAAAAAGCAGCTGTCAATGATATCAAAAAGCATGATCTTTAATTTATCGTGGGGAATGGTTGTGTATAAAGTTGAAAAGTCTTAAGTTTTTAAGCTGTTGATTTTGGTAAAATCTTGTGATTTCAAATTTTCCAAAAGTTCCTTGGAATTTTTAAGTATCCATATTTGATTTACACCACTTCTCGAATATATTGTTGCACAGTACTCTTGAAGTTTCTCCTTCACTACTGTTAATATCTTAGTGAGGAGTAAAGAAAGAGGCTTGGTTGAACATTTACTGGAACCAGCTATGTATCTTTGTTTGTAAGGATTATTAGACATCTAATAAGAAATGTTTGAAAATAAAGTACCACATGTTCAGGTACTTTTTCACTGCAATTTTCATCAGTTATAAAATTTAACATGCAACTAGTACTCTGTTGTTATAATGATTATTATTTTTTTAAAAAAAATCAAATTTCTTTTTTTAAATCTAGAGAAGGGGGTGCTTGCAACCATATTTCAGCATTATTCTATGGAATTGTGGATATAACAGTAAAAAAAAAAGGACACCGGTAAAATTACTCAACTTCAAAAGCTTGTGAATGGATAAAGCCACGTACAGAAATCTTTCACCAAAAAAGGCAGAGGGCATGGATTTCAACAAAACAAAACTGGGAAAAACAATCGAGGTTCATATAGTGTCAGGGAGAAAATATCCAGACCTTACCTTATCATCTATTCAAGTTTTTAAATAAAAACTTTAAAAAATAAATCGAATTGATGGATGGCTAAAAAAAAATTCTCAGCTATTGAAACATTACCCCCAGGTGCAAAAGCTATACCCGAACTTCACCAAATAACTTTTTCTTACATGAACAATGTTGATCTTTTCAGAGGAATGTAAAAAAAACAATTTAAGCAATATTTTGAGTCTCTTCAGGTTTCAGCAAAAGAGTGTGAAATTATTCATGAAATGACTGAAGATCAACACATCAACCCAATCTGGAGAGAAGCCAGGCATGGGCGACTTACTGCCTCAGACTTTGGTAAAATTGTACGGAGAAAACCAGAAACTACCTGACAATTTACTAAAGTATATTCTTGCATACTGTCCATCTTTTTCAGACTAAGCAGTTGAATAGGGGAGAGAGCATTAAAAAGTAGACATTGACTGCTACCTGCTCAAGGTGAGGGAGATACACCCACCACTTACATTCCAGGAGACTGGACTAGGTGTCCGGGAATCGCTACCTCACTTAGGTGCCATCCTTGATGGACTAGTGTACTTTCCTCACTGCAAGCATTACCATGGTGTTATTGAGGTAAAGTGTCCATACAGCTTTAAAAATGTACATCCCAAAGAAGCAGCTTTAAGTGATAATTTGTTTTAGCTTAGGTGAAAAAGGAAATTTACGATTAAAGAGAAATCATGCATTTTATTATCATGTACAAGGAGAAATGGCTATCAGTCAAAGAAAGCGGTGTCACTTTATTACATGGACAAATAAAGGTCTCGAAATCGAAACATTTTTATATAATGGGGAACTTTGGGAAAATGAAATGCTTCCAAAACTGATTTTTTTTTATTGTTCTGCAGTGTTACCTGAGCTTTTTTCAGACAGAGTTAAAAAGGGTCTTAAATCAAACTTTTGATGAGTGTTTACATATGTCACTAATGGTCTCTAATCAGGTATGACATAACTGTGCATTAAGGGTATGTGTACATGTACTCTCATACCATAATCAATTTTGACATATTTTGTAATATTTGTGAGCATATCAATATATTTAGTGTGGAGTATTTTATCTTTTTTTTCTAAATGTAGGTTCATACAGTACCTCTTAATTTAGTACATCGAAATAAATTTTAAATAAGATCAAAGGTCATGGCAATTATACAAGGATATAATGCATTTAAAAACTCTTTTTTTAACAATAAACATGAATTGATAGTTTTCTGAATCTTTTTAAAGGTAGAATTTTAAAAAGATTTTTTTCCCAGTGCAAGTCGTTCTGGCTCATCATTGCTATAATCTTTGGAACACTTGATTTCTTGGTTGATCATGACATACTGAGGTATAAATAATGTAAAGACGTATGCAGATTTTTGCTATTTATTAAACAGTATAACTACGTACAAGTTTTCCTCCACATATGCCGTATGTTGCATAATTGCTTTTAAACAATCAAACAATGATGTATTTAACGCATCTTATGATAGATACATTTTCAAAGTAGATCAACTATGTTTGAATAAGTGGAGGAATGAGATTACAGAGAGCACACAAAACAAACACAATTTTGGACACCTTGTCATGAAGTGATATTGGAGTTACACCTTGAATAAGTTTTTTATTCGCTCCATTACTCGTTCGACATGGATTCTTAAATTGGCAATCCTTCTGGGGGTGTTTTCATTTCACATTTTGTTAGCCTACCATGTTTCTTCAAAGGAGGATAATGAGATGAATTCCATTTGGAGTACAAAGACCAGCTATCAGGAACCCTTTGCCACCCATTATTGCATCTCCAGGTTCACATTTTTTTTCAATTAATTTTGACAACTTTGTGACTTGTTTGTCAGATGTAATTCCACTCCATAAATCTGAGACATGTGTAATCACTCCACTAGGGCTAATTCCAATGAGGACTTTCCAAGTCATGTGTGACTTATAGTCTGAATACATCTTTCCTTTGTTGGAAAGTGACTGAGGTGTTTCTGTGTAGATCTCGGTACAGTCAATAATTACACAAAAATTTGGGTACCTTCGTTTAAAACTGTCAGGCATGTTTTCTTTGATAACATTCCGTTCTGGCCAAGCTACTAAAAAGTCTAGATGCTCATACATCAGATATAACATTCACTAAATTTTTTTTTACTGCAGGCTGACACAGATATATTTAATCTTTTAGCCAAACCTTGAATTAAGAGTCCCATCTTCAAACGCATTAATACCATTAAAAACTCATCAATATCTCTTATTTTGGGGTCTTCCTCCGTTATCAGGAACTGTACAATTATGGTAGTCTGATAGATGTTGGAATAATAAATAAAGGTCTCCTTACCCAGATAGCATGACTACGTTGGGCCAACATTGGTAAATGGTTGTATGGTTGGCGTTGGGTGGACAACGTTGGGCCAACGTTGGACCAATGTATCCATGTCAACCTTCTTGATCTTGTTGGGATTCCTATGTTGGCCCAACGTTGGTCCAACGTAACCAACTTCTATATTCGCTCAACTTTCAAAGGGAGATAGGATTCTAATGTTGGCCCAATGTTGGCCCAACGTTTGTAATACACCCTTACTGAAAATGTCTAATCAAGTTGGTAGTAGTACGTCGGCCCAGCGTTGGCCCGATGTTAGCATGTATAAATGTTTCAAAATGGGATATTTATATTGGGCCAATGTTGGCCCAATTATTGTACTGCCAACTAAATGATGGTGTCCATGTAAGCTGATGAGCGTTACGTTGGGCCAACGTTGGTTCCAAGTTCTTAAATCGTTATGTTCCCAATGTTGCCCCATTGAACTGTTGTGTTGCAAGCTTATTTGATTGCAAAACATTAATTTAGATGTACATTCTGAAATAACAGAGGACATTCGCTGTCCTTGCTTTTAATTGCATGACTGCATCTGTTTAGATCTGATATTTTCACCATTCTTATCTTTGAACTAAAGTGATCACAGCACCAAAACGTTTTTTTTTTTTTTTTTTTTTTAAGTGGGTGCATGATTATTTATTAGTTTTAAAATCTTTAGCTCTAAATTATGAATTATTTCATGAGCGTTGTATTCATGAGAATAAGAGAAGACTGAATAACATTTAAAAAGTTCCCAAGAACAGGATGTGAATGAAGCCTACATATATACATAAATCAAGATAACATAGCTTTATAATTAAATTGAAACAAAAGTTAGGCGTTCGCTAAAGCTTGGAGAGTCGCGGCGATTAAAACACCAAACTGCTGGGTGAGCTGTCAGATTCAATTGCTCACAGGTGGGTGATAGACTCAAAATGCAGAGCAAGTAAGAAGGGAGATTTAAAAACTATGGATTATACCATTGTTACAGCTGCATCTTAGAAGCGATGTAAGTATAATTATTCATATTAATTCAAGTTTACTGTTAAAATTGTTCGGAATTCATCCTTTTCTTGTTTATGCTCACAAGCACTATATAAGTTAATGTAAATATGAATTATATATGTGTATACACTTGGCACATACATGTACTTTAAACTTTTATTTACAATAACTTCTAGTGCTCATTAAGAAATACAATAAGAAGTAAGGTAAAAAACATCTTTCAACTTGTCTCCATCTATTGTCTATTGCATACACGATTATGACTAAGGTTTATAGATCAACATGTACTACTAGTATTTTACATCGTTGTCTTTAAAAGACTTAATTACATGATTTATATATTGGAGTCTGTACCAGTATTTGCTTTGTTTCAAATACCAAATTATTTGTATTTTCAATCAGAGACTGTAAGGAAAACAAATGTTGTAGCGGTAATTGACAATGAAACTGAAGAACATGAAGGACTGTATGAAGTACGTATGCCTAAGATCAAGATGGAGGCCTGGGGAGGCGACAAAGGGAGGAAAAAAGAAAGAGCGGGAAACAAAACAAAAGGACAGTGATAGAGGAAGTGAGCCAGGATTAAGAACTTTAAATTAATATTTTTTCATACATTTCCACCATTATCTATTTTAAAAGTAATTTTGTAAATTCTGATTGAATTGATATATATCTATAAAATAATTTTACAGTGAATCACTTGTAATGTTTTCTTTGAACGTGTATGCATGATGAGTGCAGGTTGAAGTGTGTATTATTTTTTTAAAACAATTATGAGAAAGGTCTATATAAAGAATTATTTATAAATGTATTTTCAAGAAGTATTCATTCAATTTATTTAAACAGATGCAAGTTTCATCCAACAATTGGCCAACAGAAAGAAGCTTAAGGCCAATAAACCGTAAATATCGGACCAATCATTCAATGAAGGGTCAACCGATTGCAAATGTTGTTTCTATGTTGGCTGTTAGTTGGCTTACAATAATAATTACGTTGGTCCAACAATATGCCATCTGACATTTCAACAAAGGCCCAACATTGGGCCAACCTAACCAACCAGTTGTTAAGGTTGGCTGTTAGTTGGCTTACAATTATACCTACGATGGCCCAACAATATGCCATCATGTTGGACCAACGTTGGGCCGATGAGCAAAATGACCGTGGGCCAACGTAGGACTACCAACAGTGGGCCAACGTTGGAAAAAAAATTGGGCCAACGTTGGACCAACAATGTCTTGCTATCTGGGTTATTTAGCAGACCAGTATAAAATGAAATGTCATGTTTTAAGTCTTTAACTGTTAAAAAGGGTAAGGTTGTACTAGTACTTTTGTCACACATTTTTTAAGAGACATTATTACTCCCATACGTGTCTAGGTAACTTTAAAATGTCTGAATACAAACACTATCTTTCTGTTGAACATCAGTTTGTGTCAATTGATTTTTTGACAAGATAAGGTTGACGTTTCTACCAATCCACAGTAATCATCCATTAATATGGATGTGTCCAATACAGATTTGTTTGCACCAATAGTAAAACTCGAGCTTTACCATATGATTTAAGCATTTAGATGAGTTTTCAACCCCCACTAAAGCATTCTTGTAAAAATGATTTAACATTGTTTCTTTAAAAATAGATTTTAACCAAGTAATGGTACAAAACTGAATCATCATATGATTGTCCACACGAGTTCAGAATAGAGTCTGTATTATTTCTGAACCCATGCACTGAGTTTCGAGAAGATCAACTCGGAAAAGAAAAACGATGAAGACAAAGATATTACCTTTTCTATTATTTATAATTAATTTCCTAAGATTTTCTTCATATCAGACTTGCATTAACGTGTGATAAGTCTACTGGGCGTTAGAGTAAAGTTATCTGATAAGCATATCAGTTGGTCATAATTAGATAAAATGGAGCATATGCTTCGTTATTACAGCAAGTACCGGGAAATCTCAAATACTCATGGATCCTTTTAATTTCGAAGTGTCGACCACTTTCATAATGTTAAGTCCTGAAGGGGTGACTTTGCGTCAGTATCAATATTCTAGATGAGTCGTTTCAAAGCAGAAAGTTAAAAAAAAAAGATCAATTAATTGAACCTATTTAATGGCCAATGTATTTATGTATTTTCAGATTAGCTGCAAAAAATAGTTATGGCGTTAGTAATTTCGGACGGACAGATTAAATGCAACAGCTATATTGTCCGATCTGGGGGTGGGTTGGGTGGAATCCTCGCTTTTTTCGCTACGTGGAGAGGAGGGGGTGGAAGGAGGAAAAACGTTTCTTGGAATAGACGTTTTGAATATAAAAGTATTCAAACAGCTTGATTGGTCACAATCTCTACTCATATTTCACTTGCTTTTCATTTAATTTTAATATCCCTCCCGTACAGGGTTTTTGTTTATGTCAAATTCTTAACAATTGTCTCTATATTTTTTGGAAATATTGCAAATCCATTCAATATAAAAGCTACAGCAGTTTTTTTAATGTGTCTGTTTTTTTATTCGAACTGGAGGGTATATTATCAAAGAAGGATTTTATTACCACGGCCCAAGATGATTCATCTCCCCCCCCCGTATGTGTGAATCTCTGATGTTTCTGTGTGTGTGTGTGTGGGGGGGGGGGGGGGGGGCACCTGTTCATTTTACATCAGTTGATGGTCTCTCATTGTGCTCCTTTATTAGCCGACCTGTTTTTATTATTCTACGAAGCAGAATGTCTTCAAATGCTTCTAAATGACAAGAAGAAATTACTTGCTTTGGTCTTGAACTCGATATTCAGATATCGACATTTTGTCTATTTAAGGAATGAAGCTTATTTTAACCTATGTTATATGATATAACATAACTTGGGTCAGTTTATGCTTTATAAACCGCGAAGCGGTTTATAAAAAAGCGTAAACTGTCCCAAGTTATGTTATATCATATAACATAGGTTAAAATAAGCTTCATTCCTTATAATTTAATTTCAGTGTTGACAATAAGACAATTTTTCCTCCAAAAATGGCTTCAAATTGAGCATATTTTAAAAGTTACGTCAGGCGGAGTAATACGTTTTTGACGTAACTCATTGTGACGTAGGCAACTTATGTTATACGATATATACGAAATCTTTTATCCAATCAAATGTTACAACAATCAAATGTTACAACTAAAATCTTTTATCCAATAAAATGTTGCAACAATCAAATGTTACAACTAAAATTAAATTATTAACAAATATTAATTCCATTCATATGTCGACTCAATATATCCGAATTCAAAATAAAAGACACCACAGCGTCTGCCACATCTGTTTTGTATTTGGATGTTTTACTGACTATGGGCCAACTAACAACTAAATTGCATGACAAACGAGATTACGCAAGCTTTTGCAGCATCATTATTTATGAAGTAATTCCACTTTCACCTGCATATGGAGTATATGTCTCCCAACTTATTCGATACCCAAGAGCATGCACTGAGTACGATCAAGGCAGGCTTAAACCGAGACAGGCTAGGTGATGTTACAGGGATTTCAATTACATCTTTTAAGTGCTGTTGTCAGCACTTCGTAAATTCTACGGTCGTTTTAATGTCCTTATTAATAATTTTAACCTATCATTGGATTGTATTTTGAGTGACATATTTCACACAATTTTTTATGCCTTTTTTATACAAAATTTGACTATGGAATATTAATCTACCTGATCAATACACAAGGTTCACGGCGACTGTGACCGGTCCACATGAAACACTTACTCCTCCTAGGAATGCTGAACCCATATCTAGAATTTGTAGAATTTCTGTGTGTGTGTGTTTGTTTTATGTCCTGTTTACAGACTCGTATTGCTACAACTTTGTATTGTTTCATTGGACTTTTGAGCATGACTACTGTTCATTATCTTCAAAGTTCATGCTCTGTCTGATATTTTTTTTTCAGATATGAACCATGATGAGTAAATCTATATGGGATGTGATGTCTGATTGTAACGTTATCTTATTAGGGAATATCCGCATTAATGCTGTTACTACTATCTATACTTGTATGTTTTTTTTTAATCTATAGTTATTTTAAACAATTAATAATAAAAATAAAGTACTGTAATGGCCACTGAAAGTTTTTTAAATGAAAAAAAAGAAGACACGGAAAATAGATGAGATGGCTTTTTCCTGGAATTTATTTTGCAATAAAAAATACTTATTCTTTTCTTAAAAATTCCCTGCAAATTTACGATTTTCTTCTTGTTTATGAAAGGTGATAGTCATAAAAAATAATTAATTTAGTAAAGTTCATAGTCATTTTTGTCATTCATAGTAAACAACATAGAAATGAATGTATTTTTTCAAATTTTATGAATAATTATTTAAACAAATCTACGACATTATTTCAATGTGACATTGCACATTACAAGAGCTTACCACTGAGACGAACCTTTAATAGACCAAACATTATTTAGTCGTTAATAAATTGTGACCTACGCAAAATTCATGACATAACTTTCTCAGATAAACTTTGTAAATATTAAATATTAAGATCATTGTTACCAATTGAGGGACAGACAGACAACGGTGACATTGTTACATTGCTAATGAAATATATTTTTATTACACGACAAAAAGAAATGAATTTAATTTTTGAGAATTCATGAGGACATGAACTACGACGCTTCATATGCAGGCGTAAAGCGTTGTAGTTCATACATGTACTTCATAAATTCTCAAAAATTAAAATTCATATCTTATATTTACATTATTTTCTAATGACTTACCACATATATTTGTCATTCAACGATCATTTTTGAAAAGAAAAAATGCACTATTTTTTATTTTAAATCAATTACTTCACATTGAAAATATTCTTACTCATCCCACGTCTGTTTGTGAGAACATGATTTTTTTTTTCTAAATTGTAAAGAATCTTAAGGAAAATATTTAGAAATTGATGCTATTTTTTTTTTTTAAATATTAACCAACATTTTTGATTCGATTATTTTATTTTATTTAGTGCGACAGATATCTCCTAAGCTTTACAATATTTATTTTACATTATACAATTACATACATAGCACAATAACATGAAACACAATAACAAACTTATTAATGTATATACGAGGGTTGTCTGGAAAATCGTGGACATCGCGTTTTTATTGAAAAATAATTCACAGATTGAACTGAAATTTTCAGCAAATGCTTGTTTATCATATCCAGGCTTTTTTGACAACATTGACAGCTGCTTTCCCAACAAAATGGAAGTCGAAAAGATACTTACCTTTTCACTAGTCATTTGCAAAATTATTTTGTTAAAAAAAAAACATTCTGATTGTAAACACAAGTACTCTGAGGTTGATAAAAATGCTTGAGTTTCTGATTGACAATATCTGTGTAGGTTTTGGAGATCAGTCTTTCAACAATCTGTTGGAATTCCAGTTGGGTACTAATTGCACACCCTTATTAGCAGACCCATTTTTGTATTCATATGACGCAGATGCGGGTGTGACCGCTCGGCAGGGGATGCTCAGTCCTCCATAGCACCTGATCCCACCTCTGATATTTTTGGAGGTCCGTGTTTGCCCTGCTCCCGATTTGTATTGTTTTAATGGACTTTGAACTTGAATACTGTTCGTTGTCTCCATATTTCATTGAAGTATATCTTATTATTTTTAAAAATACATAGGCAAAGATAGCGATTTCATTATATTTGAATGTGCACAGG